AGCACTTTAAAAATAAATATCTGTAAACAAAAACAGGCTTCTTTTCTGCTGGACCCAATCACTCACAAACACAAACACACACACTGCATCTGAGCAAGGTGTGCTGAGACCCACTTTGATGGAGTGGGAAATCAAAGTCGGTTACTGTTGTAAGGTTTACAGAAGTACAGGGTAAATTTAGACAAAGACTTTTCTTAAAGTACAATTCAGACTTTTGCGCTGTTTAATTTTGTAATCCACATGGCACCTCATGGGCACTACAAGCATGAACTGTCATTTTCAGGATGTCACATTCTGAAACGTAGTCCACTGTCTCACAGCTTTAAAGTATGAAGCCTTAAACTGGCCATCCAATATCAGCAAATCCATTTCAGCTCTCACATCTTGCCAAACTCATTAGGCCTCTTTCTCAGCCTGTTATTGCAATATTGATTTCCAATCCTGTTATGTGTTTTGGAAGATTACATTTTCATATAAGTAAAATGTCTAAGAGGGTTTTCAGCAGAGAAGACTGTATGAGCATGGTGTGGTATCGATGAGTGCATTTTCAAATTCAACAACTTTTCAAGGTCTGTTTTGAGCCAACTTTATATGTGATTTTTGGTTGTTTACAGTTACATTTATTTGGCCGCTTGATTAGCACATCTGTGAATAAAGCCAAAAGCTAAACTGTCCACTTTGGAAGTATTGTTATAAGTACAGATGAAATTCTTTAAGATTTTGTTACTGTTATTGTTGACTTAATGTGTGCAAAGCAGGCGTGTGTGCGATATTGACAAAAAATAATTAATAATAAATAATTTCTGATATCTTGTTGATAACGATAAGCAGATGATATTTTGCTTCCTTCAAAAATATTATGGATAAGGTCTTATACTAGATCATAACAGTAATTTGATGCTGTTTTGATTTTGATTTTGATTTGATTTATTCTTTCAAGCATGTAAAGTCAGTTGATATGTCAACACACATAATTTCACACATATTCAACAAATGCTAATCCAATATCAATTTGCTTATACTAGTACATGCTTGAATGGAGGAGGAAGAAGTCAGACTTATCCAGTCCTACCCCATGACATCATCTTACCATCATTGGTTTGCAAGCAGTAAATAATTCTCTTCTACACCACACAAGTAATATATTAAAGAATTATTACAAAGTGTTAACATTCATACACCACACCCACAATGTTCCATCTAATTAATCATTAAGCCTGTTCTTGCATATATCTTGATTGACACATACCTTTATATTTATGTTTAAACTCATCAATTCTATTACTATTTTTTATGTCCACACTTAAATTATTCCATAGTTTTACCCCACTTATAGAAATACAGAATCTTTTTTTGGTTGTACGTATAGCATGAATTTTTAAATTTAACTGACCCCTTAAATTGTATCCCCCTTCCCTTTCATTAAATAGTTTTTGAATTCCACCAGGTAATAAATTGCTCCTGGCTTTATACATAAACAC